CAGCATCCATGGGGGTACTTCTCGTTTTGCAGCCCATGAGACCAGAATCCTGTAGGATCTGTAAGGCATAATGACGTTGACAAACAGAAATTCCTTTGGCATTACGAGCCACTTCAAGACCCAAGAAGTATTTTAAACAGCCCAGATTTTTTAACTTAAATTTGCTATTTAAAAAATCAGTAACCTGTTGCACCTCAATGGAATTGTTAGAAGCAACAATTATGTCATCAACATAAACCAAAATAGCAGTAAAAGAAGTGTTTGTAGAATGAACAAACAAAGAATGGTCTGATTGAGACTGAGTAAAACCAAGGTGCAGCAAGGTAGAAGAGAACTTGGCAAACCACTGTCGGGAAGCTTGGCGAAGGCCATATAATGATTTATGCAGACGACAGACAGCATTTGGAGGAAGAGAATAGTGCTTGGAAGAGTAACCAGGAGGGAGATGCATGTAAACCTCCTCAAGCAAGTCTCCATGAAGAAATGCGTTATTAACGTCAAGCTGGACAAGAGTCCAATTATGAGATGCAGCAAGAGCAAGAATGACCCTTACAGTAGTCAATTTTGCTACAGGAGAGAATGTGTCCATGAAATCAACACCTTCCTGCTGGGTAAAACCCTTAGCCACCAAGCGGGCTTTGTACTTCTCTAAGGAGCCATTCGAATTATATTTGACTTTGTAGACCCAACGACAACCAACTGCGTTCATGCCAGGAGGGAGAGAAACAACCGACCAAGTCTTGTTTTGTTCAAGAGCCAATAATTCAGAGGCCATAGCAGACTGCCATTCGGGTAACTGGGAAGCATCAGAGTAAGAAGAAGGCTCAAAATGATTAGAAATGGAGTTGACCAAGGCTGTGTGTGAAGAAGACAACATATGGTAAGAAACAGAACTAGATATAGGATGGCTTGTAGATGTGGTGCAAATGTAGTCATCAAGACGAGCAGGTGTAGTGCGGTTGCGGTGAGGCCTTAAAGAGGCAGGGGCAGAAACAGTGGAGGGAGGAGCTGCAGAAGAAGGTAGGGGTAAATGGAAAAAATCAGCAGGTAAAGGAGTTAATGGAGAACTCAGCTTGAAAGGGAAAATGGTTTCAAAAAAGATAACATCACGAGAAATAAAGGTGGAGTTGGATTGAAGGTCAAGGAGTTTGTATCCTTTGTAACCAGGGGGATAACCAAGAAAAACAGCTGGTAAGGCACGGGGAGAAAATTTGTGTCTATTTTTAGGAAGGGTAGAGGCATAGCAAAGACAGCCAAAAATACGGAGGTGGGTATAAGATGGTTGTTAGTGGCAAAGTAGTGCAATAGGAGATTGGGAGGAAAGTAAAGGGGATGGTGTCATGTTGATGAGGTAAGCAGCTGTAAGAACACAGTCCTGCCAATATTGAAGGGGAATGTTCGATTGGAAATGTAAGGAGCGAGCAACATTAAGCAGGTGTTGATGCTTGCGCTCAACCACAGAGTTCTGTTGGGGACGATCAACACATGAGTGAAAGAGTTGGATGCCTTTGGAAGAATAAAAAGAAGGCAATAGGAACTCAGGAGCATTATCACACCTGATGGATTTAATTGGAATACCATACTGAGTGTGAATAAGAGTGTAGAAGGAAGGAAAAATTGAAGAAAAATCTGATTTCCTGCGAAGGAAATAAATCCAGGTAAACCTAGTTAAATCATCAACTAAGGTTAAAAAATACCTAGAACCTTCAACAGAGTGAGTGTTGAAGGGACCCCAAATCTCACAATGCACAAGCATGAAGGGAGAGGCAGAGAGTTTGGGGTCTAACAGAAAAGGGAGACGCTTCTGTTTGGCTAAGGGACACACCTCACAATGATGAGAAACAGGCAAAACATCAGAAAATCCCAAAATATTTTTCATTGAATTTAAAACAGCAACAGATAAATGACCCAAGCGAGAATGCCATAAAACAGGGTCCTTAACCGAAATTGATGAACATAGGGGAGGGGGAAAATTAACAACAGAAAAACACGGGGAAGGGGAAACATCTGATGAGGGAAAAAGAAAATTGCAGTCAAGAATGTAAAGGTCATCGCATCTCTTAGCAATCCCAATCAGCTTGGCCGTAACACGGTCCTGAAGGAAACAACAAGAATCACAGAAGTTAGCCATGATAGAAGAATCACGGGTTAAAGAAGGAATAGAAAGTAAGTTAAACAAAAAAGACGAAACACACAGAACATGCAAAAGAGAGAGCGAATCAGTGAGAGGAACAGTGCCAACAGCGGAGACAACATCCGAAGAACCGTTTGGAAAGGTAACCAAAGAGTTCGAAGGAGAAAAAGACTCGAAAAGATCAGTGGAGACGCAAACATGGTGCGTGGCACCAGTATCTAAGACCCAACAAGAACGAGGAAAAGAGATAGATGAGTTACCGTTGAAGCTAGCAACCGAAGGAGCCACCGAAGGAGAAATGGAGGACTCGACGACGGAAGGAGCGACAGAGGAGACAACAGAACTCTGCTGGATGAGGGAAAGCAGTTGGTTATACTGGGTAGGAGTGAAGGCTAGAGGGGCGTCGGCGGCTGAGAAACTAGGGTTGGTGGGAGCATTAGGTTTGGGGTGGGTGGCCACCGAATGAGCAAAAAGGGCTTGAGGTGTGTGGGAAAAATGGGCCTGAGGGGAATGTGGAACATGGGTGGGCTTCGGGTTCCTGGGCTTGTAGCCAGGAGGGAACCCATGAAGCTTAAAGCATTTATCCCTTGTGTGGCCAGAAAGGTTGCAGTATGTGCAAAGGGGTCGTTGGTGACGCTGAGTCGAGACCGCCATGGCCGCCGGAGAAGGAGCAGCAGTAGTGACAGAACCCAAAAATGGAGTGTCAGGAACAGCAAGTGCAGCAGAAGAGACGGAGATCTGACGTTGACGCTCTTCCTGAATAACCATGGAGAAAACCTTGGCAAGTGACGGTAAGGGATCAATCAAGAGAATCTGAGCGCGAGCAGCGGAGAAGGAGTCATTGAGCCCAATCAGAAACTGAAGAACATGATCTTGATCCCAGCGAACGTTCATATCGCGAAGAGCACCACAAGCACAATGAGGGAGGGGAAGATATTCTTGAAGCTCATCCTAGAGAACCTTTAATTTGCCATAATAGCTATTAATGTCAAGAGAACCTTGACACAGAGATGAGATTTGTTGCTTAAGCTGAAAGATCCGAGGACCATTGGCCCGAGCATAACGGGTTTTTAAATCGGTCCAGACCTCAAAGGCATTAGAAAAATAAAGGAGACTCTCAGAGATATCCTTAGAAACAGAGTTCAAAATCCAAGAAATGACCATGGAATTGCAACGGTTCCATGAAGAAAAAAGGAGATCCGAAGAAAGAGGTCGAGGTAAGGAACCATCAACAAAAATTAACTTGTTCTTGGCAGTAAGGGCCAAAAGCATGGCACGATTCCAAGAATTGTAGTTGGAACCAGAAAGGGGTGTGGCCACAAGGATCAAACCAGGGTGACCCCCTCCCTGCAAGGAATAAGGACTGGTCGAGTCCTCCATGGAAGGAGAATGACCAGAAGAAGAATCTGAGGGAGGAGGACGAGGAGCGTTATTGCTGCCACGAGCCATGGAAAAGGCAAGGGCTAAACAAATACATCTGATACCATATTAGTTTACAGGAAAGGGAGACTGAAAATAAAACTGAATATTCATCTTTTCTTAAATTGAAAGACGTACAAGAGGTCTGCTTATATCAGCAAAAGAAAAGCTAACAGAATGCTAAAAAGGTGCTCAGCCACATGCATGAGCCAGCGAGGCTAATCAGTTACAACAGAAAAGAAATAACAATAATAATAGAAAAATGAAAATACAAATATTAATACGTTGTTCCATCAGGTATCCCAACATATATTAGACATATATTTTTCATATCAAATGGTAAATTAAAGTTTTTTGTCATATGTTGAGAAGCCACTCTATCAAGCAACCAATAGGAGGGTGAAGGAATTTTACCATAAATTTTGCTAGATGTTGATTTAGTAGTGTATACTAATGAAAGAAGTTGTTCAACCATATCTGAGGGTAAGGGATGAATAAGGGCTTTCTTGTTGATCATGGGTTTGTCTAACATGCACTGCGATAGATGTAGGCAACCTGGGATAAGTGATCTTTAGATGGCCATTGTTGTTTTTCGTCCTTGGGCAATGTTTCTCCCCACGACGTGAAGAGATCACAAACTGGTGGTACAATTGTTTTAATGGTTTTATATTAAATTTCTCTAACAAAGTGCAGTAACTAACAAGATTAATTAAACATATTTAAAATTTAAAAATTGTATGCCTTATTTTTACTTTATTTTTTTATAATATTATATATATATATATATATATATATATATATATATATTAACATATTAATTGTTAAGGAACTCGATTTTTCCTTTGTTTGTTTAAAATAATGTTTACACACACTTCTTAACTTTTTCATTTTCGATCTTTTTTACATAATTTAAAGATAAAAAATTAAGATCGTTACAATTGATTTTAATATATTAAGTGAGCTTCTTGTAAAATGGAATATTTATATAATTTTCAATCTTTATTTTTTAGAAAAATATTTTTACTCAATATTAATTATATTTTAAAACATTGTTTTACAGTTTTAAATAAAAGTTTTATAATTTCTTTATAATACTTCATTAATTACTTTTCACTTGAAGTAATTTTACAATCAAAGTGATAATTAATAATAAATACATTATTAAATTCATTATCAATGTAATTTTATATATGAATTAAAAATATAATTTTTAAACGAAACAAGATTTTCAATTGAAATAAATTTAATGTATTTTATTTTAAAATCTATTTGATTTAACTACATGTGAGTTACATCACATAAATGACCACTTTTAAACTTTGATAGCTAGGCATTTAAAACAATATTGGCATTCATTAATTTATATACATAATTTAAAGAAGAAGAAAAAAGCTATTATCATATAACTGATTTTTTTTAAAACATGAAAAAATCCATATAACTGAATATAAGATTGTCATTACAAAAAAATAAAACATAAAATTGTCAATCATCTCGATTTATTTTTTCTACAATTTAATAATGTACATAACACTGTTAATAAAACTGAAACGACCCTATAATAACCCTCACTAGTAATTGTGGATTTAATATTGAAAAATAATTAGAAGTAAAAGAAATAAAGTAACTTGGCCTATTTCATTTTTTGGACATCGTAGCACCCCCTTATTTCTCCTTCCATTCCTGTGAGTGCCCTGTGTCTTTCTTCTCCATGGAAGCTTAGGGTTTCTTTTCTTTTTCCTTTCATGTGTCTTTCTTCTCCATGGAAGCTTAGGGTTTCTTTTCTTTTTCCTTTCATTTCCACTCATTTTGCCACCAAAAGCCATGATGTCGTACATGAATCTTTAAGGAAAAAGGCTAGTGAATCCATTCCACCACTCCATTTGGGATGATTTGGCTTGTGGAGAGAGTTATTCATCACCCCCAATTCGTGGCACTATTCATCCTTGTGAAAAAGTGGGGCTTTTGAGTGGGCAAAGCTTAGGTTTTGTTCTTTGGAGCTTGCAATAGCAACTATAGGTAAGAAACCTCTAATTCTATGGTGTTATGTTTGTGATTTAAGTCTTGATAATTGTGAGCATATTTTGGTGGGAAATAATTTAGTTTTGAATTTGAAATTGATGATGAATTAGTGTTGTTAATGAAGTTATAGTGTTAAATAAGCATGATTATGAGTTTAAATGTTGAAAAAATTCCTTGCATCTCCCTCCCTAGAATTCAGCCATGTAGTGATGAAAGGAATGGTTGCTAACAAAAGATAGCTTGAGAAAAAGTCATGAACACACTTATATGTGTCATTTTCAACCCTTAAAGAAGTAAATGGGTTGGAATTGTATTGGACTTGGAATTATGATTTGTAAGTTATGTTAAGGACATGATAAGTACATGTAAAGTGAGAAATGCCCACTAAGAGTTAGTGGTTTTATGCTAACTAGCTTTGGGGTTCTATATGTAAGTTTGAAAGGAATTAGTATATGACTTGTGTAATGGCATAGATTTGGCATAAGTGTTAAAAAATGAAAGTAAGCAGTAAGATGTATGCCTTGTGTAAATTTCATGGCATTGTAGCATTTTATTGATTTTGTTTTGAATTCTTTCTCTAGGTGTGCCTAGGGACTGAGAGGGTTTGAATTGCGTTTGGAGCTAAATAGGTAACTTGTGTTACAAGTGAGCAGATTGGTAAAGCTTCAAGAGGTAAGCTCTATGTTTATGGGGTTCGCTCCTACTTTGTGTTTCGCCATAGTGTACGGACTGTGGTCAGGTTGTATGATATGTATGAGATATATGATATAGATGCATTCATATAGAGCTATATGATGATGTGATTTGATATGTTTTGATGTGATTTATGTAATGATCTCTGACTATTGATTTGTTTATGCACTGATGTCCGCTTGGGGTCCTCCCTTGGGACTGACTGTGTATATATCTGTTATATGTTGAGTTTCGCTTGGGGTCCTCCATTGGGAACATGTGCACTGAATCCCGCTTGGTGTAACACCCTCCACCGCCGAAAATAAAAGAAGAGAAATAGAGGAGTAATAAGTTTGAATCGTTCTCACTTCATGTCCCTGCAAAACCGTAATCTTCAATCAGCTAAATTCCCATTCACTCTCATTCTTACTCAGTCCTAGAGCAACTACGGAGGAGATCATCATCTCAATTCATTCCTCATTTTTCTCTAGCTTGGCCGAGGAATTATGTTAGGAGGGGAAGTATTCCTTGCTTTCTTTTAGTTCCCTCTTGCTTGGAACGGTTCTAAGTGAGTTTTTCCACTGAATGAAATTGGTCCAACCTTGATTGAGTTTCATCTTCCCTTGCATGCAGATGGGTAGCTCGGATTCTTGCAAGGAGGAGGGTGAGAGTATACTCTTTTGGAGATTAGCACACCTAACAAACATATATATCAAGTCAGAATTCATCACAAATATTTCCTATACATTACCTAGCTTCCCCGTTCTCCTAAATCCTTTATTTGTGATCGGTTTCCAGGTCCATATGCTAAGCAAATTTTCTTCCATTAAATTAATTTAATTATTTTAACTTTGAGCTTATTTTTACCAATAAATAATAGGTAGCATAATTAGGATCTTTCATGCATGTAGTTCGGTTTCGTGCTTTCTATACTAATTGTATTTCTACCTTAAGTTTGTCCTACCAATAGCTGTCAAGTAACAAAACATTCCAATTACCTATACATGCATATACGGTTTTGGCCAACAATTAGAGTGCTATAAATTATCATTCACATATAAACTCCTGCAAGGTGTAGGGTGCGCTAAAGGGCTTAAAGCATATTGCCTATGTAGATTATTAACATATGTAAGGCTTGACTAAACCTTGGTTCAAGGGATGGTCCATAATATCACTAAGGGCTATTTTTCCAAACCCTCAATTCGGTTTTTTTTGTGCTTACAAGCACCAGGTTCAATTGCTATTTAGTTGGGCAGAAATAAGAAAGAGGAATTTAAGGTTTAACGTCTCTCAATTTCAAGGCTGTCCAAACAGAATTTAAAACATGTAGTGTTGTGTAATTATCTTTCTAATAAAAGGGCAGTCCAACAATTTTAAGTGGCTAAATCCTAGTTCACAAAATTTCCGATTGGGATCAACATGTACCACTCCTAGGACAATTTATGGAACAGAATCAATGAGGTAAAGTGGAGTTTTAGGTTTGACCTTTAGCATACAAAACGTTCATAATATTTATTTAATTACATATCCATTCCATCAAAGTCTAGGTTGCGCTAGGAGGAGCTTATAAGCATTCTGTACCTTTAAATTTGATACTTGTAAAGCTAGGGGCCTCTATCTAATCTCACAAAACAGTCTACAAAATCAGAGGGGGGTCATTTCTATTATCGCCAAATTAAATATTAAAGCTTTCAAGCATCTCTTCCACGGCTGTACGGCTGGACAGAACAGTAAGGGGAGAAAGGCACAAATAAAAATAAGACTCCTAGATCACAATTGCAAGCCGAAACAGAGATGATGAAGAATAGAGTTTGGCGTATGGATTTTTACCTCTTGCATGCATCCACAACCCCCAATTCTGCCGATTGAGATTAACCATAAGTTGGTGTGTACACTCTCAACCTCTCTATACTCCAAGTCTCAATTCTCTTTTTTTTTTTTTTTTACTGCATGCAAGGAGCGAAAGTTTAGATAGAACTGTATCATGAGACAAGGTACATGAGGACTCCGAAAATGTCTCACCTTTTCCTATTTGAGGTTGACAGCGTACCCAAGGGAAGGAATACAGGTTTGACACACAATAATTTCCACCGAAACAGTCCCACAACTTCACAAGGGTGCTACGGTCCAAGCACAAAAATTGAGTCCTAACTGGTATGTGTCACTGGCCTACACTCTTCAGCTGATCCAAGGAAAGAAACCATAAGAATGTCAACATAAGAACCCTTAGCCTGCACACAACGGCTAAGACAGAGAGAAGAAGAGGACTTGAGATTTAGCTGCTACCTCTTTGTGCACACCAAAGTGCTCACAACCGGTCCAAGGTATCGACCAAAAGAGGATACTCTCACCCTCCTCCTTGCAAGAATCCGAGCTACCCATCTGCATGCAAGGGAAGATGAAACTTAATCAAGGTTGGACCAATTTCATTCAGTGGAAAAACTCACTTAGAACCGTTCCAAGCAAGAGGGAACTAAAAGAAAGCAAGGAGTACTTTCCCTCCTAAGATAATTCCTCGGCCAAGCTAGAGAAAAATGAGGAATGAATTGAGATGATGATCTCCTCCGTAGTTGCTCTAGGACTGAGTCAGAATGAGAGTGAATGGGAATTTAGCTGATTGAAGATTACGGTTTTGCAGGGACATTAAGTGAGAACGATTCAAACTTATTACTCCTCTATTTCTCTTCTTTTATTTTCGGCGGTGGAGGGTGTAGAAGAAGGCTGAGTTCGGTTTCAGAATTAAGAGGAAGATAGACAATTTGTGTTCTTCTTGGTTCAGTCATTCCACGCCTAAGAGGGAAGTAGGGGTTACCTTTGGTTCAGAATAAGTGGGTGCAACAATGGACTGATGTCCTCCTCAAGGTTATGTGCACATGTGAAGAGATAAGGTGGGTGTGTTTTGCCTTGGACCAATGGAATTTCATGTAGGCAGATTTCACTTGGCCACTTGTGATAATTTTTAAAGAAATTTTAGGCTGGACTTGGTTCTCCAAGGGCTTGGGCCGTACTTTATGAGTGTAGGTGAGGGTCCAATTTCCTCTCCTTATGACCTTTAGCTTATATATTTTTATTACTCTCAATTCTTCTAAGTATTAATATAATCTTTTATAGGTTACATTAAATTAATCTAATTCTTTAACTAGAGGTTTTAATTTCTTAAAACATATATATATACATATGCACTCACGTATCCATACAAATCAATTAATCTTCCTAACGTAAATAAATTCCACTCTAAACCTAAGTTTTATTCAAATTTCAAGCTTGCTACACCTTCTTAATTATAATTTATAGATATCCCTAATTATGCGGGATGTTACACTTGGGGTCCTCCCTTGGGATTGACTGTGCACACCTCTGTTATGTGATGATCTCTGGCCATTGATCCTATGTGCACTGATGTCTGCTTGGGGTCATCCCTCGGGACTAACGGTGTACATATCTGATATGTTTTTGGTTCCGCTTGGGGTCCTCCCTTGGGAACATGTACGTTGATTTCTGCTTGGGGTCATCCCTTGGTAATGACTACGTACATCTCTGATATGATATGCTTTGTTCTGATGTGATTATTGTGATGATTTTTGTATATGATATTTGTTACGTGCGTTGATTTCCGCTTGGGGTCATCCCTTGGGAATGACTGCGTATGTCGCTGATAAGATTTGTGTATATGCTTTGTTTAGTTATGATATTTGATTATATGATATGTTATACGAGATATGTTCAGTATAGTATGATATATGATGTTTTGTATATTATGTATCTGACTGTCATGCAGGAAGTGAGCACAGGGTATGGAGAGTTCTCTATAAACTTGGAGCTTACTAGAGATTCATCTCTAACCCCGTTTGGGGATATGATTTTAGGAACACAGTCAATTGAAGAGCCCTCATGGGACAAGGACACTACCTGTGGCTAGAGGTACTAGTATGAGGATATGGAGTTCTGGGTAGCCAGAGGCTACTATTTATTATAGATGTTATTCTTAGAGAACATATATTGTTGTATAGTGTTCTATTCATTTGGTGATGTCTGATCCTTTATTTTGTATATGGCCTGTATCTGTTTTGTACATGTCTTTCAGTTGGATGCATGTACATTTGAGTATTCAGGCATGTTGATATGATGATGTAGTATTCAGTTTATGTTTATGTGTTGGATTGCATGCTGTTAGAAATAGTGACACATAGCCAAGTTATGCATGCGCCCATGGATGGGTATATGATTTTATTTTGGATGTCTGGTACTTCTGAAAATAAATTCTGTATAAACTGTCTATCAGGAACTCTTGAGAGTGGGATTGGAAAATCTCCAGTTGTCCGATTTACAGAGGTTACTCTGTCCGATTTTCGTCTCCGTCAAATAAGAATTAAATTAGAAAAAGTATGCAATGTGATATGTTATGTGATAAAGGATTAAAGAAAAAGAAAAAGTTAGCTTGTATTTTCGTAAGTTAAGTCTTCCGCTGTTTCTGTTTGTATCATATGTATGTTAATTGAACCGGCTCGAGACGGGGATGTTACAGACCCGGTCGGGTCGATCCAAGAACGGTAAATCGGTTATATAACCAGTCCGGTTGAAGCAACGGACCAGCTATGTATCAGAACCCGTGTGATCCGGTCCAACTCGGTCGGTTTGCATGAAAACCGGTGACCCGGCCCAGTCCCAAAAAAAAAATTCCAATTTTTAAAAAATAAAATAAAATCATGATGGATATATTTGAATATTTTTTTGCTTATTGACTTACATAAGTTTTGTACCTACAACATTAATATTATCTCAATTATGTACTATGCAGGAAATTTTGATTTAATTTATAGTTAGAGATGTCGTTTTCTGAATCTAAAGCCTTGTATCACGATCGTCATATTTTTGTTTTATCTTTTATTAGATAATAATATGTGATTTATTATTTTTATATTAAAATATTTGAAATTTTTATCATTTTTTTTAGATATTTGAGTATGTTTATAATTTTTTAATATAAATTATAAAATTGTATATAATTACCGGATCATGCAGTTGAACCAGTAACCCACTAGTTGAACCAGTGACCCAATACCTCAACCGGATCAATGACTGAGGCAATTTTAATAATATTGTTACATAGTGGATTAACGAGTTGAAAAAGGCTAATTAACATAATATAAAGAGACAACATTACAAGGCATTTTATTACCAAATGTATGGGTGCAATTAATCAACATCACAAATCACAATCAAGCTCTTTGAGTTCCCAATGTCTACTCTTTTTCAGCATTGCGACCCAAAGAGGATTCAGGCCCAAACCAATTGAGCTATTGTGAAAGTGGGCATGGTGAGGGAGGTCCATATGTACAGAAATTAAAAGATATATAATACAAGACAAGTCCAGTACTTTTAACATTGTTCATGACTTCATGCATATCAGTGTTTTAAAATTTGGATTGATCATCAACTCAGTTAAGGTACTGAGTTTTTAGGTCATTGATTTAATCAGTTTAACTGAATTTACTGTTCATATGTTAAAAAAATATAAACATATTATTTATATTAAAAATTTACATAAAAAAACTATCAACATTGAACTTCAAAAAATAAATTAGTTTTATATGATAGCAAATATCATATTACCATACAAAGACTTCAAATTCAATCATCATCAACTAAAAAAGCAAAACCAACAAGTTAATCATTCAATCCAGCTCACCACATCCGAATATATATATATATATATATATATATATATATATATATATATATATATATATATATATATTTGAATGCATCCAACCCTTCACCCAATTAGAATATTGGGACGTTAAGTCACTAGTTAAACCAGAGGATCATTGATTCAACCGCATGACCCGGTAAATATATATAAATTTATAATTTATATTAAAAAATTACAACTATACTTAAATATTTGTAAAAAAATGATAACAATTTCAAATATTTTAGTATGAAAAATAATAAATTATATATCATTGTCTAACAAAAGATCAATCAAACATATAATATTTGTGAAACTAATGTTTCAGGTTCAATAAATGACATCTCTAACTATAAATCAAATCAAAATTCTTGCATATTGCTTAACCAAGATAATATTAGTATTGTAGGTACATAATCTATGCAAGTTAATAAGCTATAGATCGCTCAAATATTTCAAAAAAAAAAAACAAATCATTTGTGTGTAAGAGTGAAAGAAAGGAAGACATCAATTGATGATTTTTTTTTTTCCGAAACGAGCTGGGTTATCGGTTGAACCGACCGGGTCCTCGGTTTTTATGAAAATCGATCGAATCACCTCAATTCTGTAACATGACCGGTTCAATATGAAAATTGGATCGATTACATGACGGATTCACCAATTTCTGAATCAATCCGGCCGGTGGAACCGATTTTTATAACATTGAAATTAACTGTACATGTGCATTCACATTTCACAATTGGCAATGACTAGGCAATCGAAAGTGACGTGCAATGTCCGTTTCTTTTATGAAATTTCCTTGGTATGATGGCGTTTCTTCTTGGAACTTGCCTGGCCTGTCAATCGGCAAAGGAGAACAGATAAAATAAAAAGTCACTCTTTCACCTAATCTAATGGTTTGCAATCTTTCATTCCATTGGTGCAAACCGGTTTACTCACTTAAAAAAATTGAATATATATCATTTTCGTTCTTCAGCAAATTTTACGATGTCCACTTCTAACAAATAAAAAGGTTATTCGTGGTCCTTAAGAAATTTAAAATGGACACATTTTAGTCCTTTTGAGGGATTAATGTGGATCTTTTTTGAATTTGTGAGGGATCACGATTTCAACTAAATGGGTCCATTTTGAATTTCTTAGGGACCACGGATAATATTTTTATTTGCTAGAGACTAAAATGGATATCGTAAAATTTATTGAGGACCAAAAAAGATATTCACTCTACACAAATTTTAGTACTTCGCACCTATGAAGCACCGACACTTCAAAGATCTTGACGTGTCATGTCCGACACTTCCCGACACTCTCCGACACTTCGACACTCTCCGACACTCCAACACGCATTGTAGAAACTCAAAAAATGGTTCAAAGGTTGCATTGCGTTGCATTTTTAATTCCAACTAATAGATTCGTTAGATTACGATTATAATTTTATTGAGTTTAATATAAATATTTGGGATATCTTATGTTTCTTTGCAAAATTGATGGGTATTATAAGTTTAACTTCATTTTTTTTGTTAAATTATTGAATATTAAATATAATATACACTACATAAATAAAAATTATTATTTAATATCACAACGTGTCCTAACGTGTCGAAATCTAACTGTTTTTAGAATTAACGTGTCGAGGTGTCGTATCGTGTCGTGTCACGTGTCCCGTATCGGTATCAGTGCTACATAGCTTCGCACTAGGGCCTGATATTTAAATAAAAAAATAAATTTTTTTCTTTTCTCTCTTCTATTTTTTCAGTCATTATCCCATTTTGATTAATTTGAATTATTGAATTAATGATGCTTCAGTAGTACCAAATTTTTTCTCTCTGTCACTCCATCCAATTTCAAACTTATTGATCCGTTCTTCCATCAAACTGAATACAAAAGCTTACTGGCACATACAGATCCAGGCCAGACCACTAGAGCTGAATTTCAAGACATTTGCTAAACGAATCATTGACTTTTTCGATTTTCATTAGAATATCTGAGATTATAATTATTATATCTTTTTCTTACTACCTCTTACTACTAAATCTTAACCGTTGATTTTCATCAATCTAACGGTTTTAATTTATTTGGTCATACTTATTAATTAATTATTAATTTCCAATAAATTGTAACCGTTAGATTGACAAAAAT